AAATTTCAGTCTTAAATCGTACCAAGAAAACAACAACTGTTTCCTCCTCTGTATCATGCCAAAAAAGATTAAACTACAAAAATTAATTTAAGAAAGTTAATCAGGAAAATTGTCAGACTCCAGTGAAATACATTACGAGTAAAAAAAATAAAACAGACTGACTGTCAAACTAAAAACAATAAAGTGTCAAATTAAAGGTTGTTTTATTTTCTCGAGGCCGCACGCTTATGGGTGCCAAATAATGTGTAGCGTTTTTTAAACAACTACCACTGCGAACGGCAGCTTTTCATCGGAGAGCAGTCGTGGATAAGATATTTCACTGGAAAGAAAACTAATTAAGAACAATAAACAAAAAAAATAGATATTGGGCGCCAGGCATGTACGGAGAAAGAAAACACAGTTGTATAATACTTAAAACTAATGAATATATTTATTCATGACTTTCTTTGCTGATACATGACATTGTAGAGTTCTAGTAAATATACAGTGGTTATATGTCAAAGAAAGTGGTGGTAAGAGTCGTACTAAATATCAATGAAAACAACTACGATAAAATACAGGACATGTAAAGTTTAAGAGAAAATATGAAATGTAGCATTACTTTAATTAATTTAATATATTCCATATGATGCTAAATCGAAGATGTTACAACCTGTAGATTCTAGAATCTATGTTTGATTATCCATCTATTAAAATAGTGCAATAATATCTATAGAAAGTAATACTATTACAAGGCGTAATATAATGAAACCTAAAATCTAAATCACATTGTAACTACTGAATCGACATAAATGTTCTTAATAATGTAACCACTAAATATAGTCTGTACGATATTATTTAAAATGTATGTTACTGTTTAAGACTGAAAATATAGAAAATCTAAGACATAAAAACTAGAACGTAAATCTACACTTAGCTGTTCTTTATGTAATCTTGCTTCAAACAGTAGCAGCGTGAGGTGGTCTCGCATCTCTGTACTCAGCCATCCAACACAACCAAAGAGGCCAGCATGAGACACCATAAATTGGTACAGTCGTAACTAACTAGCTTACAGCTGGGATCGAAGCAGCATGGGACTCAAGCTACATCCACGCTGTGGCACTTATATGTAAGAAAAAATCATTCTTACTGGGGACACTCGTCCACAGGACATCCGTACATAAGATAATGTCTGTACACAAGACACTACCTTGGACACAGTCCGTATCTTGGACACAGTCCGTACCTTGGAAATAGTCCGTACCTTGGACGCAGTCCGTACCTTGGAAATAGTCCGTACCTTGGACGCAGTCCGTACCTTGGAAATAGTCCGTACCTTGGACCCTAAAAATATGAAACTCTTGTTTAAAACCAAACAAGGTCTAATAAACAAAATAAACCTACCTCGAAATACTTCCGAGGGCTCAATAAATAATAAACAACATGTCCTTTCTTCCATGTGACATTCTGGAGGACAAAAGAAAAGGGACGCCAACGTGCCAGCAAAACACAAATACAAGTTGGGACATCCGTAACTCTACCCTAAAAATATTCAATAATAATATCGAATCTATAAAAGGTAATAACTCATCTTTACCTGTAGCCTAGAAATAGCAGCTGATTCAGATTATACAGCAAGATTTAAATAATCACCATTTCTAAAAGCTGGGATAAAACAGAGCGTCAAAACAAAGTGAGGTTAAGCACGGAGAGTTGACAGAAGCGATGTTGCAGCGCGCGCCTTCACAGAATAGTAACAGGGTTGTGTCGAACGATCACAGGGTTGGCGACCAGGGAACGTAAAAATTACGCGTCAAATAATCTATCCGGCCTGAACGAGAGGGAATCCGGTGATGATAGACCAGACATCATATATTATATATAAAAAAGACATGTAACGAACTAAAAACGTTACAACATATTTGACGTTATGGAGAATTTTAACACTTGATTTGACGTGACAGCGACAGAAAGAAAAGCAATGTTGCCGGTTCCACTGAATTTTCTTTTTCTGTTTTTTATTTTAATTTTGATAAAATACAAAAGCAATCAAAACACGCTTACGCTTACGCGTGTTTTGATTGCTTTTATTTGACTCTTGTTTAAACCAAAGTATCAATTAAACAGAAAAATCCAAAAAAAAAACAACCAAACTAACCCGACCCAACGCTAACCAACCTATACTAAACCAACCAATACCAAACCAACCAATACCAAACCAACCAATACCAAACCACCCAATACCAAACCACCCAATACCAAACCAACCAATACCAAACCAACCAATACCAAACCAACCAATAAAAAACCAACCAATACCAAACCAACCAATACCAAACCAACCAATACCAAACCAACCAATACCAAACCAACCAATACCAAACCAACCATTACCAAACCAACCAATACCAAACCAACCAATACCAAACCAACCAATACGAAACCAGCCCAACCCAAGCCAACCGCAAACCAAAGCTATGGGCTATAACTAGCAATTGTCTCGCCGGCGGTAATTTAGCCAATTTGTTAAACTAAAGTAATCTAATTCGTATTAAAAAAAAACAGTTTGAAACCTATGACGTCATGAATTTTTTTAGGAAAAAAAAATGATGCATGCAATTCCGGATAATTTACTAGCTATTCTGACAACCATGTATCAATTCGCAACATTTGTCAAATTTCGACCTTCACTACTGTCAGCGTAAACATAGAAACGGATATAAACCCGTCCGCGACTCTTTCATATGGAATTTGCCCGGGAATTTGTTATAAAAATAAAATAACAACATTTTTAAGAATGTTTTTATGTGAAACGTGTTTTTCCACATCAGATTTTAGTCAAATAATCCAAGAAGTTCATTTTAAGGTAACATAAGCTTCATTTTCTAAGAAAAATCGTGTGTCAGGATAGTTGACCGAAGCCAAAATAACGTATAGAGAGTGTATTAGTGCTCTTGAAAAATAAAAAAATCAGGGGAGTATAGCAAGAAAAGCGACAATTGAAAACTTTATTTGTCAGAGCTATTTATTTTAGTAATACAGTTTATATGGGATATACCGGGAGTTGCATCGTCGGACGGGACATAGGAAATCCCATGTAAATTTTAATGGGGTCAATTATTGGCTTCCCTAATTATTTTAGAGAATAATTCTATTTAGGTTTATTGAAGAGCACTAAAACCCACATTCAAAAGAATAACCTTAGATATTTTTGATTAGCTCGTTTACGAGTTATTTCCCGATTTCTTTTTAAATATTTCTCCTTTCTTAAGGCCCTGTATTTACTTATAAACACCAGTCAAGGTAAAATATAACTGTCAAATGAAGTTGTCATTTCAGAAATTTACCTATTTAATGCTTTATTATTATTGAAAGCTCATTCCTACATCGGAAATCTTAAAGATGTATTTATAAATACAAATTAATATGAATTAAAGTAATCAATTACAAGGTTAATTATAGTATTATTACAATATTCAATAACTTATTAATTTAGGTACTATTAAATTGTTAGAACTTTAGAATTTAAGAAGATGTTCAAATACTCCTCCATCGACTGCTAGACAATAACCCAGGCAATCATAAAATTCTCTTCTTACATTCGCTAGTTGGTAAACTTAAATTCTATTGCATTCGGCAGAAATAGCATTTTTTAACTCGTCTAGATTTGGTTTTTTTTTTGTAGGTATGAGTTTTTAATAATAATAATAAAGCACTAAATAGATAAATTTCTGAAATAACAACTTAATTTGACAGTTATCTTTTACCTTGACTGGTGCTCATAAGTAAATACAGAGCCATAAGAAAGGAGAAATATTTAAAAAGAAATCGGCGATAACTCGTAAACGGGCTAATCAAAAATATCTAAAGTTATTCTTTTGAATGTGGGTTTTAGTGCTCTTCAATAAACCTAAATAGAATTACTCTCTAAAATAATTAGGGAAGCCAATAATTGACCCCATTAAAATTTACATGGGATTTCCTATGTCCCGCTCGACGATGCAACGCCCGGTATAATCCTATCCATAGAGAGTACATAATCATTTGACTATTTATATTTTTCGAGAGATTTTCTTTTTTCAGATTTTGCAAAATTTCAACTTTGGTTTTATTCAAAAATAACAAAATCGATTTTTTAGAAGGATTAGAAACACAATTATGAGTTTTTTCGCGAAATTTTTTTTGGAAAATTTGGAATGTTTTGAAAAACTTTTTTAGTTTTTAGTTAAAAACCATAATTTCTTGATAATATGGCAACATAGGCAGTAGAATAAATTTACCAGACAGAAAAACCCGAAAAGCTCCAGTGGTTCTCAAAATTTAAGCAAAAATTTTTTTTTTAATTCTTAAAGTAAAATAACTCGGTTATTTTGGAGTTATTTGAAAAACGGTAAAGAGAAAATATGTTTCTATTATCGAGATCTACCAGCCCTGAAAATATTTGCTCTTATTCAAAACTCGGCCTATATAATATACAGAAAATCGACAATTGCAAACTTTCATATGAAATACGAGTAGCTATAAAACTGTTAATAACGTAGTGCATTTGTAAGGTTCACTAGCTCTATCAATAAAGAAACAAACAATCATTCAAATCAATGCATGAACGATTCGAGGTGTAACGCGAACGTAGTCGCGGGAAAAAGCTAGTAAAGATTTATATCACAAATTTTTGTGAAAAAGATTTAAATATTAAGTGTTAAGTCGATTTCGAAAAATGACTAAAAATCAAATGACTTAAGTCACTAAAATGCTTTAAATCAAAAAACGACTTAAGTTTTCTGTGAGCTTGTAGCTCTGGTAATACCCAGGATTTTTTTAGTAAATTAACGGACCAGAAATGTAGAAAAATTGTTATTAGTTTAATTTACGACTTAAACAAAACCAAACTTTCCTTCAGAATTTAACCTGTTACATAAATTAAATTACCGATTCAACTCGACGCTGCGCACATATCTATCTGCTCCGAACCTAATCCACTTAAGTCTGTAGGCTTGGAACCCAACAGATAACATTATTAAGTAATTATTGACAATCAAGCTAAGCCGAGCGAGTACTAAGTGTAGTCTCACGTCGCGTTCCGGCGAACGAAGATGCTGCGTCCCGTGACTTTGATCTTTGACTAGATTTATCGAGCCTACGGATTTAAAATAATCTCAAACTTTAGTGTTGTTATGAATGAATGTTGTGCAACAAGTGGTAGTTATCCGAATATTTAATTATTACCGTATCTGTGCGGATTATAAAACTCAAGGTAGATTAAAATATTTTTTTAATATTAGTTTTAAAAGGTTTTCTACATTTTTTACGTATTATACTATACTGATATGAATAAAAATAATAAATGAAGATTACTTACTATTTAATCCATAGCTCGTAATATTGGAATGTATAAATTAATCTTGTATCATTATTTTGAGAAGAATTCACATAAATTTCCGGGTGCGTCTCAAAAGTGGCTCAACCCTATAACTTTTTTATTTTTTCAGATGAAAAAACGAGATTTGGTATGTTAGTATATGACATAAATTAGGATTGATTGGCGAATTCATCGGCCACTTCCTGTTTCCCATGGGACTCCGCCCCCCCTCCCTAAAAACTGTAAATTGTGTTAAATATTAGGCTTTTGGGTTAAAAATTGCGATTGATAAAAAATGATACCCTGCCCTCTGTATTTTTTTACTTTATTTCATAGAAAATGGCATATCATATGTCAACTTTTGACATTTTCGCTTAAAACAAAATTGTATTTTAAATTTCAATCTAGAGTGCCACGGTTGTATTAAAAACACTAATTTTTAATCAAGGAACCTGCGAAAAATAGATTTGGCCGTCTAATGTTTTAGTGTCTTGTCCTGGCCGGTTAAAAGATGCCCAAATCGTATTTTTAATCATATCTCAATTTTTTCAAATGAAACGAGAGTGGCTCATTACCATATTTGGAAAAAACATTTTTTTTTCGAATAATTTTGTGCCACACACTTGGAATTTCGAGTCAAATTGTCGTTATGAAACGCATGTTGCAATTTCAAATTAAACATATTCGAAAATGTCAAAAGTTACATATGATATGTTATTCTATTCGGAGTTCAGAGTATCATTTTCTATCGAATAAAGTAACAAAATACTGAGGGTGCCATTTAAGAATTTAAAGTTGTAGTCATTTCCGGTGAAACAGGAGGTGACCGAAAACAATTTAATGCGGCAATCAATCCTAATTTATGTCATATACTAACATACCAAATCTCCATTTTCTATCTGAAAAAATAAAAAGTAATAGGGGTGAGCCACTTTTGAGACGCTCCCGGTATATTTATAATTTATATATGTTTTTCTAAATTAAATTTAATAATTTTGTATGCCTGAAACTGAGCGAAATTTTCTGCTTGGAGTAATGTAAGTTTTTCTTTATTTCCAGTTATAAGACTACCGTTTTGTAAAGATATACTATTTAAAAGAAATATTTAATATTCTATCTTTTCTACCGTGTATTGAATTGCCTACATGAACATAGGAAATACCATGTAAACTAAAATCATGCCCAATTATGTAAAAAAAAGTTCCTAAAATGAAGCAAATTGTTTATTTTGAATAATTTATAGGAATTCGTTTTTGAGTTACAAAAATATTAAATTAGACATACAGTCCATAACCTATCATACATGGGGATTTTCTTGTTGTAGGGGGGACAGGGTATTTCCCATCCTCCTTTGACAATAGATGTTCTTTATCCGAGAAGTGGACATCTACCTCTTACGAGTGTATACACCCTTCTACGGTTGGGATTGGCCCCCCGCGCCCTTCACAATCTAGGAGTTTGTCTCTTGCTGAGGAACCCGTGAGATGGAGACTGGAGGATCTGTCTCAATTTTCTCCACCTCTTTAATTTAGTCTCTCTTTAAACCTGATACCGGTGTTGTCCCGAATCTATATTAGATGATATATCTCTCTTTTTCTATTGTCTCCTTCGATTTGAGGTCAATTCCTGTTGTGAAGGCGCGACCATTGCCCTCCTCCCTCGAGTTGATGACTCGCCAACTCGATGTCTAGGATGGTCTAGTCCCATTAAGGATGTTTTTTTTGAGATTCAAGTTAACGTCTCCTTTCTGCTGCAATGGCTAAACTGGACGCGACCTACTTGTTTACGCGGAATCCGAACCGCGGTCCTCGGCCATATCATGGTCAATGGCCTACCGACTTAGGAAGTGTCTAAATTAACTCTTACTCACGAGATATCTGATCTCATCCGGCCTTGAACCGGCGTGAATGAGCAGTGTGTATCAATAGATTTTACACTTTTCCCTTTTGGACAACAGCACGATGCAAAGTTTCGAACCGGTCACCCGTCCATCCACTAGCATCGCCTTACGTCGCTTAACTTCGGTGTTCTAATGGGAACCGGTGTTTCGACGTAGCTGGGCCATTGCCCCTTTAAGGATGTGATTATCCACAACTTTTATCTGAACACTTTTTGTCTAAAATAGATTATAATGAAATTAGGGAGCATTTTTAAAATAGTCGAAACAAAAAAAAAGTTTTTTTTCGAAATATCTATAAACTTTTTGAAAAATTCGAAAGGTGCATATAATAGATTTGACCTCACAAAACTGCTGTTCTTTCCCGATTTGAGCGACTCTCTAGTTCCAGTAGTTTCTGAGATACCTCTAGAGAACATCATAGAAAACTTACCATGTATATATTTTTTTCTAAAAATAGGTAAAACGCAGGGAATTATATAATAGCAGTTTTCTAATGAAATACAGTACCTTTAGAGGGGGGAATCGCCAAATGCAGCATGTGCGGTCGCGGCATTAGGTGTGCTTGGGCTTTTTTATTTCTATCTTATCAATTTGTATCTTCCTCTTCCTTTTTGACCAACATTCTAAAGTTTGTTTTAATTGCATTAATTATTAGTGAAAAATATATGGAAAGAATTGTTACTCAAAAATTGTTATATAAGTTATCTAATCAAACATGCTACAATTATTTTTTAGATAACCAGATTAGCCACTTTTTGCTATTTTAATAGACTTTTTATCACAATATATAGATAATTTTGCACTTGAGAAGTTTATAGTACTATTTTGTTTATATTTTAGATATTGGTGCTTTTATTAATTGAAATTTCGTTATATTAGAATATTTTTCTGTTCCTGTTATTTCTATATCTAGAGATAAATGACACATGGTACTGCAATACCAATATTTGTTGAACAATTCCCAAATTGACAGACTTTCTTAATATATATTTTGATTTAAAAGTGCAACTAGTTTTAAGGTTTAATTACTCCATCCGCATGGCATGGTAATAAAAGCCTAAAAAATATAAGATATAGCGATAATACAGGAAATACCAAGTTTGAAAGCTACTTTGTTTACTTCACAAATTTTAATATGTGCGTCTACTAAATAATACTAGCTTTTTCCCGCGACTACGTTCGCGTTACATCTCGAATCGTTCATGCATTGATTTGAATGATTGTTTGTTTCTTTATTGATAGAGCTAGTGAACCTTACAAATGCACTACGTTATTAACATATTGTTGCGAGCCGGTGTGGACTCGACCTAACCTCACAATATGGCCCGCCCTCGGATGACCTTAACATCGCATAGACACCGCAATGATTCATTCGTTCGAGAAGAATCGAGACCCACTAGAATGGACTCGTACATACGAGAACATTCGAAAACCTTCTCTATGCGCCTAACGATCTTTGGACTATTCTAGATTTCTTTTACCTGTCGGTATAAAAGCCGGCGGCAGTGGCCTAGAGAGGGCAGTTATAAATATACAGTTGACGCGCTAAAATTCAAAATAAATTCTTAGTTATAAATCGTTTGTAAATAGTTCTATAAGTCTTTTATCGTTATTATTTTTGTTCATTAGTGTTAAATAAATAGTGTTTAAATAAATTGTGACTTTCTATCCACACGGAACCGACGAGAAACGTAACAATTGGTGTCAGGTGTGGGGTTAGGTCGAGTCCACACCGGCTCGCAACAATATTTATAGCTACTCGTATTTCATATGAAAGATGCAATTGTCGATTTTCTGGATGGCCGAGTCTTGAATAAGAGCAAATATTTTCAGTGCTGATAGATCTCAATAATAGAAACATATTTTCTCTTTACCGTTTTTCAAATAACTCCTAAATAACCGAGTTATTTTACTTTAAAATTTGACAAGAAAAATTTTTTTGCTTAAATTTTGAGAACCGCTGGAGCTTTCCGGGTTTTTCTGTCTCGTAAATTTATTCTACTGCCTATATTGCCATATTATCAAGAAATTATGCTTTTTAACTAAAAACTAAAAAAGTTTTTCAAAAAACACCAAATTTTCCAAAAAAAAATTCTCGAAAAATCTCATAATCGTGTTTCTAGGGTCAAAATATACTACCACTATAAATAATTGCACTTATTTAAGACTCGTCCTGTATATCCTTTTAAAAAATCGATTTTGTTATTTTTGACTAAAACCAAAGTCGAAATTTTGCAAAATCTGAAAAAAGAAAATCTCTCGAAAAATATAAATAGTCAAATTATTATGTACGCTCTATAGATAGGATTATAATATCCCATATATAAACTGTATTACTAAAATAAATAGCTCTGGCAAATAAAGTTTTCAATTGTCGTTTTTCTTGCTCCCCTGATTTTTTTTATTTTTCAAGAGCACTAATACACTCTTTATACGTTATTTTTTATTCCTAGAAGTATGATTTCAAGAAGAAATTTTTCGTTCATATTGATGATGTCACTAAATAAACCCTTGTATAAAATTTTATACTTCTAGATGTTATAGTAATGCATTTTCGTACAGCAAACTTTCATTCCCTATTCTACTCCCTAAGGGTATGAATTTCATAAATTCGCTTTGTCCAAATAATTAACTCATGTCTTAAATGATCCTTTGTGCAACTTTTTATAATAAACCCTTGTATAAAATTTTATACTTCTAGATGTTATAGTAATGCATTTTCGTACAGCAAACTTTCATTCCCTATTCTACTCCCTAAGGGTATGAATTTCATAAATTTGCTTTGTCCAAATAATTAACTCATGTCTTAAATGATCCTTTGTGCAACTTTTTATGTGTATAATCCAGAGGCCACGTAGGTTTATTTACATTTTTACTAACTTTACCCATTTGGTTGATGAATTTCAAAAATCTCTTCTAATTCTTTCTGTAGAATTTCATTCTTCTAGACCAGATAGTAAGAAATTTTCATACAACAAATTGTTCGACATAATTT